GTTATAATCTTTCTTTCATTAAAATATGCAACCTTGAGTAACTTTTAAAACTATCTCGAACCTTGTAGTCATAACTCTAGAAATCTAAAAGACTCAAAGAAATTAAATTCTTTTGTATCTTCAAAACATAAGTCATATCCTTCCAAGTATTCACCCATAACCTCTACCATCTAATCATCACTTAGACTCAACTTTCTAATCAACTTATTATTCACAAAACCAAAATAATCTTTCTGAGTACAAAAATGGGTGACACAAACAAAATATAAAAATCAAAACTTCTAGAAAGATAACCTTTAGAGATATTGAGGATATCTCTATCATTATCTATCACAAAAGAGCACTTACCAACCTCTTTTTCCTATTTCATTTTTCCTACATAATTTTGTGTACTACTCTTTATATCTATAGTACTGAACATCATCTAAAGATTTAACTTTTGATCTCAACCTACCATATTCAAATCTACTCATGTCAAAAAATTCTTCTTATCAACCTCGAGTTTGAATAGCTAATGCCTTACCATCCATATTCTTATATTTATCTTTTATCATAGCAGCATGAGACACAAGTTTTTTCAATTTGTTTTAGAGTTACTGTATCTTTTTCACATAGTATCATCTCTATAAAGTTGTCATATGAGTTAGTGAGCTTTATCTTGTTTATCAATTTTCATATCAACTTTCTTTAGTTAATCAAATATTTCTTTAAATATGTTCAAATACTCTATTAAGTCTTTGCCTTCCTTTATCTACGATCTATATAACTTTTACTTCAGATATAACTTATTAATTAAGCTTAGTCAAATAAAATTTTTCTAACTTATTCTAAATAACCATGGCAGAGTCATTATCAATAATATTATTGATAATATTATTAGTGATACAAAGATGATTGGTACTCATACACTTTGCTTCAAGCTCCGTTAAATTTTTATCACTCATGGTTTTTGATTTACCTACTTATTCTTTCAATATTTTTGCTGGAAAATCCTTCACCCTCCTTTGCCACCGGGTAAAATTATTATTTTTATCAAATTTTTCTATAGTAAAGCCAACAGAAACAACCAACGATATCCTTATTGAATATTTGATTATCAAAGTTTTTGGACTCTAATATCACTTGTTAGGGAAGAAAAGAAGAAAAACTTTCAAAAACCAAAAGAGAACCACAGATACCAACAAAAGCCAATACGAGATTAACGTGATTTGTTAAATTTTCTTCAACCTTCACTTATTCATTAGATCAATTATAAAACTTTTAAGTTATCCTTAAACACATAATTTTTTTTGTATACCGTCTCATATAATCATATAAACAATAAGGAATTTAAATTTTTTTCTCTCATTCTCTTTAGAAATTCTAGAGATCACTCTCTCTAGATACCTTAGTGAGAAATCCAAGAGCATCAAAAGTATTTTTTCAATCTTACTTCCCCATAAAAAATCTATATATGAGATATTTATTGAAGAACTAAATCCTAATTATCAGGAATCTTTTTCTTCACAAGTATTAATTTCTTGTTCTCCTAAAATACTGACTCTAGAAAGTTTAAAATATTAAATAATTCCGAACAAGTTATATGTACCGGGAGAAGAGGCACCCTTTGGCAGTCTCATGAGTGGCTCTGGGATGGCATTTGAACATATGCATTAACTACTTATCTACTTATCGAAACATCGGTCCACATAACATCAAGCAAAAAACACTTGTGCATGGATGCCAACATTCAACTACACCATGACCAACGTAATCCATCACGACAAGTATATGATATGATCAGCATCCTGCCATAAATTATATGTTCGCACAATATTTGAGAATTTATCGAATGGTTACAATGAAATGTAAAAATAAATGCAAAAAATATTGCAACGACGTCATTTTTGTTTGATGAATGATGATGAAACTCGATATTTTGAGTATTATTTTTATTTTACATGACTATTATAATTGAAAACAACAGTCTTAAATGCTATTTTGTCCGTTGCCGAATGTAAACTACCTAAAGATAAATTATAATTCAAAACCTTCTAAATCATTATGATGACTATGATTCATTGCCTGGCTCACATGGCTCAAATTAAAGTGTGCTGGCTTTCTCAACCCTTGGTTTGGTTAGGAGCCTTCTCCATTTAGCTTCGTGTGTATGGCCATCCTTGATCTCATCCTTGTTCTTGTTTCGAAAGGACGATTTGATTTCTCGAAAGACATCGTACCCCTTTGGATCCAGCAATCAAAATAATAACATTAACAAGTTCTTCGTATATCCATTATCACTGATTCGACCTTCTTAATTCTAAAAGTTATTTGGTGCACACTTTTTATTTTCTAACACATATTATATTACATCAATACAGGTCTCAGGTATTATTAAATATTATCATAATAATAAATTTCTAGAAACTTTATCGTACTCCTTCCTTCCTGGTTAATATCCACTATAACTACTCCATAAATAATAAATTTATATATATTTCTATTTATGTTCACATTATTTATCTCATAAAATAATTATGATTGATCATCTTGAAATAAAACCACATTGACTTTTAGAAAAGAAAATGCTCATCTCAAATTCTATTCTTCGTCCGATCTCCATTTTTAAATCATTCCTAGTGTTTTATAGTTATAACAAATTTAAATATATTTCTTATATTTATATATCAGTAACAAAAACTTTTCCTCCATCTATAAGACTTATTTGTGGTTCTTATGATTTACTTAAACTGGTCGAGGATGTCATCAAATGCCACGCTACTAAGTATTTCTATCGTCCTTAAAGCTTTATTTAAAATAACTTGGTAACTTTGAACTTACTATTATTTCCTATCCATGTAGTTAATAATATATCCCTTCATATTTCAATAATTTCTATATCATTAGGAAACATCTTTTATGTTTATCTATCGTGCATCTAATGTCACTAAAATCTCTATGTTTCTTTCCTAACTTTGTCATTAAATATTATTTTCCTTTTCCTTGGTTTCCAAGTTATCATAATCATTATTAGAACCATTAAATTTTGTCAGTTGACAACTTTTTTGTTGTAATATGTATTCTTTTTTTTTTGTCTTTACAATTTAAACATCCTCTTTTTATTATGTATTTTTATACCTTTATCGGACTACCATCTACTCTGTCGGGAAACTACATTGCCTTTTCTTTTCTTTTTACTCTTTCAAGAATTTATTTGTCATATTTTTTATTTTAGTGACTATCAAAATCCACATGGCATTAGTTCCCATCTGAATTATCATCTTCAAACTTCCATCATGTAGGATTACTAATTACTATTTTTCATCCTCGGTTTCCCAAAGCATACATCTTATATCATCAATTTACATTGGTTAATCATATTTTTATTAGAATACGAGTTTGTAATGCTTCCATAGAACACCATTATGTTTCAATGGGACAAGTTTCTTTGACTACAATTGTATGCATTTTTTCATAAATATTCTATAAGCGAGTATACAATTATGAGATCAAAAGGTGTAATAAAATATGAAGCCACACCTTTTCCTTTATTCCTCTTTGATACCCGTAACCCGCCCACACGCACTCATTCAAATACTTACTATTTCTATTTCTAGATGACCATTTAGTTTTTTTCTTATGATAAAATTTCTTTTTGTCATCGAATCTTCTATTTTAAACCCTCTCTCTCTCTCTCTCTCTCTCACACACACACACACACGCATCATATTTCATCTATGTTATGCACAAAACCTTCTTCTATTTAGAAAGATCATAGTATTCGACTTGTCTTTCTGCTTTTAATATCTTGTAGCAAAATTTCATTTTTATTTTCTTCAACACGACAAGAAGGTGATTGACATACGGTGAATGTTGCAAGAATATATAAAAAAAAAGGCATTCAAGTATCATTTGACTACATAAAAGCATCATCATATGTTTCCAATGGGCGCTTAAAATGCTCCTACAGAACGAACAGAGAAGATGATATATTTAATTGAACCATGAACCATAGAGAATAAGAGAAAGGAGAGAAGTGAGGAAGGATAAGCCAAGATCGAGTAACAAATGAGAAAAAAAAAAAAAAAGTTGATGACAAGAGAAGAGGAAGGAAAATGGAGATAGGAAAGGAAATATTACCTTCACCGAAGAGGCTATTGTGTATGAAAAAGAAAATATTTCTATCATAATATCTTCAATTAACACTCGTAAAGTGAATATATTCTGGTGAATACAATAGAAATAACAATGACCAAGGAGACTACAATAATAATAATAATATGACCAAAACATCAGATATGAAATAAAATTCTCCTCTCCTCTTAGTAGCTCCCTTAATTTTCTTCTTGTTATGCATTATTGTAATGCATAACAACAAGAAGTCTGTGCATCACCCTTTTAACATCAAATTAAAAATACAAAAACTTAATCTTCTAGGTTTGGTCCATTCATCGGATATGATACCAATTCACACCAAAAATTTAGTATATATATATATATATATATTTTCAATTCCACTGACAGGCACCATGTTGGATTCGATACCAACTCAATCCAAAAGGCTAACCCTCTCGGTTGTGGCCAAATCCAGTAGTCTACTAACTCTGTCGGTTTTTACTCTTACTCAAATCTCTCACGGAATATTTAGAAACACATGTTTATAAAGTTCTGAAAGACGTACGCTTATAGTTTCCTCCCCCACACACACACACACAGAGCTACAAGCAATACACGATGCACATTCATGCCATTAAATACAAATCTTGAACCGAGTGACACAAGTTGGTTTCACCATCAAGGCACACAAGAATAGCAACAGATGAAAGAGAGAGAGAGAGAGAGAGAGAGAGAGAGAGAGAGAGACAATAAGTCTGTTATGGCTCGAGTTAAAGCTCCGATGCATATTACTGCGAGCTCAACCTTGGTTTGGATAGGTTGAACTTATCCACAATACTGAAATCAAGAAAGAGATGAGCAAAACCTATTGGGAACATTGACATCATTTCCAGATTTCGTTCTATAAATCTGCCTGCCGCACATAATTATCAAACAATACAGATCAAGATAGACATTATTATCTCCAATTCAAGTCAGACAGATGAGCCCTTAAGAGCTACAAACTCTACCTTCTCTATCCCAACTAAATGTTTAATTTCGACTAATTTCAGCAATCTTACCGAGAAATAACTTGATCAACAACAGCTAAGAACCACAGTAAAACTAAAACACTAGGTTTTGCTGCGTTCTATGACCCTTTCTACTGGATCCATTACTCCTGCATCATGATTACCGTAGACCAACCTGACAAATTTAGGGTATACAGTATCAGCACGATCCAGAATGAAAACTCTACACAACTAAAAGAGCCATAATGGCATAACAACAAGAAAGCAAAGGAATAGAAGGTTAACATGGTCCAGACTTCACTTGGACAACTCTAGTTGATTACTCATTTACCATAGCATAATATATCATCAAAATCCCCAATGGGGCAATATCGCTGTGATAAGAAGAATACAGAGACAAGAAAACATTCATCTGCATCTCTTGGAAAATCATGGCATCGAGCATTCAAATACATGTTCTCAAAATGTTACAAGGAATAGAGAATCATACACTTTGGTCAGCACCAGTGAGCTTTCTCCTTTGCTGATGCTCTGCAACTTTGTAATCCACCACCTCCCTGAACAAGTCTGAGCCAAGTTCGCAGTCTTTGCTTCCATAGACGGCAGCCTGAACACTGGCCATCAGTTTAGCGATTTCCCTGCCAGAAAATCCTTCAGTCTTAGCAGCAGCTTCTCTGATTACGTCATCTGATATGCCCTTGATCACTATTTTCTGCTGCTGAGGCCGATATAAGCCAAACCAACTGGACTTGCTATCCCCAGCCCTTGCAATGTATTTGTCCAAATACAACTTTAGCAACTTATACCGCTCCTCTTCCTCAGGCAGTGGGAATTCAAGTACCTCATCGATACGGTCAGCTACAGCAGAGTCGAGATCCCCAGGCCGGTTGGTGGCAAGGACAAGCACAATGTCCTTTGACTGGTCCCCTGTGCGGAAAAGGAGCGCATTAAGAGCACTCCGTTGGGCTTCACTCATATATGTCTTGTTGCGCCTATAAATCCAAAATCTGATTCAGTTTCTTTCAAATGTAATTATCCAGAAAAAAATAAAAATTTCCATCAAATAAAAATGTCCATGAGATTATGGCCGTGTATAGAGCACAATAAACATAGCATGACAATCAAGTAGCATGTCTTAGTAAGCAAATATAACAATCAACTTTCTAACATTATGAAACCTATTCTATTCAGATCTCATCACAGTAAAATACAATCATGAAATCTAGATTCTTCAGCTACAAATTAATACATCGAAAGCTGTGCTATTAAGAAATATACAAGTAGACCAAAATGAAAGGATCAGACAAACATTGAATAAAGTATTTGGAAATGGCAAAGTAGAAAGTAGAACAACTGAACTTCTATTCAAATATGAAAATGTCCACAAAGTTAATGTCACATGAGAAACTACATCTATGTGACACTTCCAACCTAGTCCATTTAGTTGCAATTCGTTTTTGGCTCAGAAATGGCAAATGCCAAGTTGTACTATGACAAATACATGAATGAAAATGTTATAGTGGTAAGGATCACTCACTCACACAAAAATGCATCTGCTTCATCAATGAAAAGAAGCAAACCCCTTTTAGATTTCTTGGCCCAATCAAATAATTGATGTATCTTGGTGACTGCTTGGGATCCCAATGGTGCAACATCACCACCGGTCATCAGTGCATAATCTAGACCCTGGAAATCATTAAACATAAAGTGAATGAGGACTTACTTCACAATCACTTCCCAGAAAAGAATAGGTCATAAAAGAAACATACAGATTTATGAGCTAATTCTCTAGCTGCCATTGTCTTTCCTGTACCAGGAGGTCCATAAAAGAGCATGTTACGGAATGGTGCCTGATGAATTTTTGTGTTTGCAGTGGCACTTGCGAGCTGTTCAATTCTTTTTTGAAGGGAAGGATTCAGAATAACATCACCGAAACCAGTCACTTTCTTTCCAGCATCATTCCCTTTCATCATCTTGTTGGATGCTGAGCTAACCATACGAGAAAAGAAACCAGACCAAGGGTATTTACCTCGGGAAGACTCTCTGATGAGAGAAGGTTGGCCCAAAATACGGTCAACATATCCCCAAACCACTCTAGCACCTTCTCTGATAACAAATATGATGCAAAAAACAGTAAGATATAGCTTAACAAGGACTCAATTACAACCGAGTACAAACTACACCCTACTGTTAAATGACTTTCTGATAGTATTGCATAGATCAAAGTTTCAAATTAAAACACATACGATTATAATTTTGAAGCTTTTGACTCAGAAGCTTAATAAATGATACACTCAAGTTGGGCCTCAGGTAGCTAGGACGAGCCAGTTTAACCATTCAACTTTTCATTTTTCTGACATTTCCAGCAAGACTACTATTTTTTGGGTTACTTTGGATTTTTTATTGAAGTAATAAAATAATACATAATGGACATGAAAGCAATTGAAATTTAGAAATATCTTCTCTTTTGCCTATTGGTGATGAACAAAAACACATGTTCAATGTACCAGACGATACTTTAAAAGGACCAAAGTGATTCTGACTATCACATCTCTTTGCATTTAGTTCATGACCTATTCTTATTTTTTTACAATAATTGATTAATCATCTTTGGACCCTAAACCTCTTGTATAGAAGTCTGTTGAATTACAACTGAAAAGAAAGCCCAAAATAGACTTGAGGCCTATTACCCATATAAATGCCACCTGTCATCTTATCTCAGTTTTCTCTATCCTAGCCAATTATTACCCAATGGTTATGCTTCATCTAGATTCTTACCAATGCAGCAACCCTGAAACATTATTCCTCAATTACAAATCCAACATAGCAGCATGTAAAACGTGGCCAGTAGAAATTATAGAACTCTTAACTTTAAAATAAAGAAACATTTTTATTTAATTACTGAGAGACAGCAAAAGTAGTAAATGGGATAGAGACTTCCATTTTCATAAGGCTACCTTGTTGTGTAAATACCAGCAGCGACTGCAGTGACACCTCCAACAGCTATAACCAACTTGTTCTGATCAGTGAGTATTGCACGCAAACCACCTAACAAGCATCAAATTTTGATTTTGAGATCAATTAGCATCATTTGGCTCTTTTATCGCACATAAAAGAAAGAGATACTTAGAACACAAAATTACAGATACACTGACAATGCTTCAAGACTGCTTAACAACCCGATCACATAAAAGTTGAAAATTTTATGGAGTATGCATTGGTACATAAAATAAGGATATGTCCAGCACATTGTTTCCGATCACTCATTTTTTGGTGGCAAGTGCTGTTTCAGAAGTTTTTTTAATTACTGTAACTTGTGTCAAGAACATAAAAGAAACTCCGAAATCACTGTAAAAAATTGAACAATTCACGAATACAGAACCATTTTTAGCATGCAATAATAAGATGGTGCAGAGTATAATTCAGTCGATAGAACTCACAGAGTTTGCAGCATAGAGTGAAAAGGTAGGAATAAAGAAATAGCTGAAAAAATTAAGAAATCTGTCACAAAATATTCTGGGGTTACAATATTCTCCCGGGTGATAAGACAAGCATAACATATCATGCTTCGAATTTCATTCTTTGGAATACTTTATGAAACATAAGCAACATCTAATCAATGATCAACCAACATCCTGAAGCATGAATAGGTGTCAACTGGTAACTAAGACTGCTCATGATAGAGAGCTGCCAAGGATAAACTAGGATAGGAGATATTGGCACTTAAAGTGTGTTATTAAGTTAGTACCTCCAATATGTTCAAAGGTTGTATTAATTGCTGATATCCACTTTTCTCTCTCTGCATTAGCTCTTTCTATCAGCATCCGTCTGTTTACATCTTCAGCTAATTTTGCTTCATGTGCTCTTCCTTCTGCTTCTGCCAATGCTCTCACTCTAATAGTTTCACGTTCTAACTCTGCTTTCTCCCTTTCTGTCTGTCTTCGTTGTGCTTGAATCTGTTCCTCTGTAGCACGACGAATTTGCTCTTGCCTAATGGATGATTCTTCTTGCATTTTCACAAGCTCCTGATTTCTTGCTCTTTGACTTTCATGCTCTGCCTGCAGAAATAAAGAAAAGATAATAAATCTACAAAGATAGGTCAAATAAAATCCAAATCAATAGAGATACTTAGCATGCCTGCATCCTTTTCCTGGCCAATTCATCCTCATATCGAGCCATTTGGGCCTTTGTCTGAGCCTGTTGTTGAACTAGCTTTTTCTGTTCTTCATAGATTACTCGTTGCCTGTCCTGCAAGAAAGTGATATCAGTCACATTTAAACAAATCCAAAAACCAAGAGGAAGCTTAATCCCATCAAATTGCAGCTTAAATATAAAATTTAAGTGACAGCCAAAATATGCCTATGACTGCATCAAAACATAAAAATTTTCAAGACGTATAACATGTTAGTATGTCCACAAAAAAGAGGATAAGTGGCAAACTAGCATGATTCATAGCATGTAATCCAACTTTAATATTCAAAGATCACCTTTATTGACTAGTGCCATAAATAGAGCACAACACATGTAATCACAAAGGATCTTCATGGTAAACAGCAGTTGGTTGATAGTGGGCAGTCACTATGGATGCCATTATAAGACCAAAGTGGATCACTAGTACTTAGGTGTAGCGATTTGAGCCTAATGACAGAGGAAATCTTTGAAATAATCTTAAAGAATTGCAAAGAAAAGATTCAGAGAAGAATAAGAAAAATGATAAACGAATAATCAATTGTTAGAAGAGGAAAGAACCTAATAATGAAAAGAACTACTTGTAGGTATACTTTTAAACACAGCGAAGGGGGCATTGTAAAAGCTGGTGCACAGTAATCAGTGCAGGAGAGGAAGAAAATTAGTTGAAGCCTTTCTTTCTTTTCCAGTGTGTGTGAAAAAGTGGACAAGAGAAAGCACGAGAAAGAGGGAGGGAAGGAGGGAAGAAATGAAGCAAGCACAAGAGAGTAAGTGGCGGGGCAAGTGAATATCATCATTGGAAACATTGGGATTAAGCACTAAGGGTTCATGGTGTAAAAATTAAAAATTAACTATCTATATCTATAGCGGCCACTGTAAACTCCAGTGAATTTATACCTACCTATTGAACATAGCATTTGATACTAACCTGCATGTTACTTTTTTAAACAATGCCTTCAACAAATGATTCTATAAATAAATGGCTAGAAACAAACAGTGTTGTAAAACCTGACATCTTGAACTTGAATTTCATTTCAACAGCCAACAATTATAGGCAGTATTTAATTTCTACAGGCTTGATGAACAAATATAACAATCAAATGCAAACATATGTTTATTAATTTTCTTGTTTAGTTTATGGTGTTCTAAAGAATAATTGTTTCTTACATATTGTAAAAGATCACTTGGCAATCATTCATAAATAAAAGATCAAATACCCCACATGCATGTCATTCATCCATGGAATATAATTGGACAGCAAAATAACCAGAGCTGAGGAGACAAACCCTCATGTAAAACCCAAAAAGACAAAAAAATATCAGTGTGATCACTTTCAATGGAAGAGAGATCACATGGAAGAATGCCAATAAAACAAAGGCTGCAAACTGCATGAAAATTTTCATCATAAAGTAACTACTGCAACTACAAGACATTTTTAGTAAGACCTGGGATTCTGTAACCAGAGATGGATCAGAGTTCCCAACATAATGTTTCCCTGTGAACCAGAAGAACCAGGAGGTTATTGCACCTTCTAGAGAGAACTGTAGATCTTGAAGTCTTTCTTTTCCTAGCTATTCCAACTTCAAATTAAAAAAGAAAATCCAGAAGTTACCATTTTGATAAGTGATACTCTCAGTAACTTTCTGCTAGTAGTCTTATTTCCTCTTGGTATCATTTTGCTTGTGAGGATCTGAGATTTTTACCATGCTGAATCCTAAGTCACGGATGTTTTTTCTTCACTCTTTTTTGGACCTAAAAGATCTATTCCTAATCATAAAAGGTGTTATTTGACAACTAAACATAAGTATTGTTAATATGCATTGGTTATAGTTAGCTTTTGGCAAGGTCTCTTGCATGTGAAATTTACAAAACAGCCAGAACCATCCACAACAATGACAGAGGCATAGACAACATTCTGCAGACCAAAAACCCATAATCTTAAATGAGACTTGAAACAACGACACCAGATTTTACAAACAGCTGTAGCAGAAAAATAAAGACAGCTCTACAAAAATGACAATTAGGCATCAAATAGCTTGAACTTTAAAGACCAAAGGATCTGATTAAACGATATGAACTCCATTACCCAAAAGAATCGAAGAACTATACGGGAAAAAAAAAATTGCAGACCCTGGATTCACCAACACTCAATGGCATGCATTCCTAGTAAAAGAAACTTACAGTTTCATGCTGCGCTTGCATGGCCTGAAACTCTGCCTTCTTTGCAGCCAACTCCACTTGCTTTGTTTCTTCCTGCTTCCGCATCAGCTCAAACACCTAATCCACCAGAGGAATAAAGGAAAAGAAAAGAAAGAAAAGACCCTTGTGATTCTTTTATTCAATGAAACCAAAAAGAAACGTCGAACTTGGTCGCGACACGCCACCTTTTTGGCCTGCGGCGAGCTGTTGATCTTCCGCAACGCCTTGGCTCCCCGTTCCAGGGCCTCGGGGTCGAACCCTGCAGCAGTGGTCCGAGGATTGTCGTTGCGAACCCGAGCCACCTCGGCGGGTGGCACATCGGCCGCAGGCGGGCCAGGCGCGGCGGATGTTTGCGCTGGCGGGGCTTCCCGGGAGGTGTAGGAATTGAAGGGGGAGAAATTGAAGGGGGCGCCGTCAGCGTAAGCGTGCTCCACTGCGAGGGCTGCCGAAGCGACGGCGGAGGCCAACATAACGGACCGAAGCGTAGCCATTAGACGACGACGATTCCGTTGGAAAGGAAGTGAGGCAGAGAAGGCAAACCGTAAACTCCTAGGGTTTGCTTGTTTTCGGAAAAGGAGAGAAATGGGATTCCGCCACCGCGCAGCTGCGGCCCAGGGCTTAGGGTAGGGTTTATGACACCACCAAGAAGTGGAAATAAAGAAAGGACATTCTCGCAATTGAAGGGTTGAGTAATGTTTGGAACCTTGATGGCGTAACTAAGATATTGGAGAAGAGCGGCAATTTTCTTCAGTCGATTAGCTTGGCCACAAGATGGCTTTAAAAGTGACATGTTCAGCAGCTAATCAAGAAGACAAATAAAATCAATTTTACATGATCTAGGGTTAATATATTTTAATTTATCTTGTATCATCGATACCATTTAAAATGCTTAAGTGCTCCGGAGTTGTAACAATCATAGTGAATTATTTGAACAGGAAAGGGTGTTTCTATTAAATGTATTCACTAAAAAAGTATATATATATATATATATATATATATATACGCAGTTTCAACACAAAACTAACTGGGCTATAAAATATGAACTTATATAGATCAAGCGAAGATTCTCAATACAACATATTAAGGTAAAATCTAAATTGAATTCTTCTTATCTTGAATATCAAATTTTAATTTAACTTATTTACTATCATATAATAAATTTATTATTATTATGAATATGAACAAATTTAATACTCTAATAATCTTTTCCCTTAAACTTATTTGTTTTTATATATCAAGTTTCATTAAAGATATTTGAAGACTTTAATTTTTAGAGATTTTGTAAGAATATTTTGTTGAATCTCGGATTAAGATCTAATGTGCGTTTTGAGTGACGCAAGACTAATTTCGATCATGAAAAAGTAATTTGATTAAAGTAGGAAGAAGAGGACGTTGGGTCGAAGTGAATATGTCAAAAGATTGGACATTGGGCCGGAAGATTGGTTGATGTGCCGGTAGAAGATCTTCGTGCCATGAGTTTAGGTATCGGGCGGAAGGATCGGATATTATGCCAAGGAGATTGGATGTTACGGAATATCAACATACCAATTGGGTAATACATCGAAGGAGAGAACGATGTGCCAAAGGATTGGATGAAGCACCGGATAAACCAATGACATGTCGGACAACAAATGATCTATGCTTTGTAATAATTTGCTTAGATCGAAGTAGTTTATAGGGCTAATTGAGTTGGTTTCGGGTATAACCATGCCAACTTAAATAATGACCAAATGGGCCTGAGTTGGAGCTATTTTGAGCCAAGTGGAAGGCTCATTCAATGACCCTTAACTGGCCCAAGTGATGGCACCGCTTGAGACTCAGCCTCCCAAGCTGTTTGGGCGATAGTACCACCCAGACTGGTGGTGGTACCATTAGAGCCTAATCTTCGAGGCTCTATCAAATGGTGGTACCACTAGACTAGGTGGTGGTACCACCCAATGTCAAACTGACAAGCAGTGGTACCGCCAGTCGTCAATCTAACAAGCGGTGGTACCGCCCAGTATTTGCGATGGTATTACCAATACCTCGAAAACCCGGGATGAGGCTGTTTTGGCTCCAAATTTGAATCTATTTGGGGCTTATAAATACTCCAATCTTTCTTACTTGATTAAGCAAGAAAAGAGAATGAAAACTTAGAGTTTAGAGTATGAAAACTCTATGAGAAAGTTGAGCCTATTCTCCTTAAGCTTAGAGGTTGTTCTAAGGGAGGTGTGTAAGGGATACCTGGTAAAAGAAGGGTGTAAATGTTACGATTGAACCACTATAAAAGAAGGGATACCTGATTTACTTACTCATTACTTTTATGCATGTTGCAAGTTAAACATCTTTTTAATACAGGTTTGATCGAACGAGATTTTTTTAAATCGATGTAATTTTTTGAGAGCACTAATCCACCCCCCTCTCTTAGTGTCGATACGGTCCTAACAATTGATATCATAGCCAAGTTTTTCTCAATTGGTTTAACACCTAAGAGAATGGCTTTTACCGATAATCTAAAGGGATACTCTATCACTCGTCCTCCTAAGTACAATGGGATGGACTACACATATTGGAAAACACGTATAAAAGTTTTCTTGCTTTTAATGAATTTTAATTTATGGAATATAGTCGAATTTTATTTTCAAACATCTTCTAAACCTATGAATGAATTGAGTGATTTTGAGAAAAAATCATTTTCGTTAAATGCTAGAGCTTACGCTTTAGACAAAAATAATTTTAATCATATTTATTTATACGAAAATGCACATGAAATTTGGCACACACTAGAAGTAACTCATGAAGGCACGAATAGAATTAAAGAATCTAAAATTAATCTTTTGATGCATAGTTTTGAATTGTTTCGAATGAAGCAAGCGAAACTATTGGAGACATGTGCACACATTTTACGGATATCGTCAATGGTTTGAAAGCTCTTGGCAAATATTTTTCTAATCTTGAACTTATAAATAAGATTCTAATATCTCTTTCAAAGAGTTGGAATCCAAAAATAACTGTAATACAAGAGGCCAAGGACTTAAAAAAAATTTCACAACTCATTGGGTCATTAATGATCTATGAAATGACTTGTATGACACATGATGAACATGAGAACAACCTTCCAAATAATAGAAAGGATTTGATACTTAGAACAAAAGAATATCACTCGAACGAAAAAGTGATGATGACCTTAACTCCTCATAATACAATTTAAAAAGTTTATAAAATAAGAATCAAAGAATAAAAATAAACTTAAAAAGAATAAAATAACTTGCTATGAATGCAATCGATCGAGGCATTTCAAAAACGAATGTTTGTAACTGAAGAAGAAGGTGCTCACACAAAAGAGGAAGAAATATTCAAGACGACATGGGACAAATCGAGTACATCGAAGATAAGGAGCAAACCAACAAACGCGAGGTAGCGAACTATGTCTTAATGGCTCTCAACGACGAGGTAGATAACTCAAATGAATCTTATTTATCTTACGATGAATTACTTAATTCCTTTCATGATTTATTTGATAAATATAAATTAGTTAGTAAAAAATATAAATCATTAAAAAGGGATCATACTTCTCTATCTAATAAATTTGAAAATTTTAAAAATGAGTATGATAAATGCTTATTAGTTCATAGAAAGGAAGAAATCAGCTTTGTGAGTAACTACACTCAAGAAAAGCCAATTAATTTTGTTAATGGACCCATATTGCATGTTACCCCTAAGGTTAAGTATAAGTTTTACGGTAGATGTAATCATTTTACATATAAATATTCATTTAAAATGTATGACTCACATAAATTGATTTAGATTCCTAAAGGAACCATGATTGACTTAATGTCAAAAATTAAGACAGATAGATTCAACCATTAGAGACCCAAAGCTAAATGGGTACCTAGAACAATCCCACCTTTTTTGTAGACATCTTTACAATCGAAAGCTAGGAGCAAAAATAATATCTTGATAGTGGATGCTTAAACATATGACTGGAGATCCAACACACTTCACAAAGCTCACTAACCAAAATAAAATGATTTTGATTGAATATACTTTATGTTTAATGAAATTATGCTTAATGAGTTTATATTTTAAAATAATGCATGATAATTTTTGTGATTTATGGCTTATTGATCTTGATTTTTTGTGATGATTTTTTGTTTTTCGATTTTAATCAATGATGCATGGATTTGACATAGAAAACAAGGACATGCTTGTATGAAATCAATTGCTTAAATTGAAATAAAAAATGGGAATACATTATTCTTAAAAATGTCTCTATCCCTAAAACTTATCGAATCTTTCAAAAAGAGATTAATGAATCTATTTATGTTATTTTTTTATGAATCTCTTGAACTATGAAAATAATTTTGATGATTTGATGATTTGAATTTGAAGAGAAGTTTTATCTAAATCATGATCTTGAATTCTTGGAATTATGGCTTGAGATTTTCTTTATATGAATCAAGATCTCATACTCTTTATTCTAGTATGATTCTTTCATTTTATTAAAAAGAATATTTATCCAAATGAATCATGATTGGTATCATTGCTATATTTCTTTTGATTTCTCAATTATAACTTTATTTTTTTTATGAATCATAATCTTGGTGACTTGAGAATTCTTATACATGAATCGAGATCTTTTATTATTTGTTCTCCTATGTCTTATTTTACTATTTACTATAGAGAAGTTTTTATCCTAATCATGATCTTGATTTCTCGATATGTATAACTTGAGAATTTTTTTTTATGAATCAAGATCTCTTGTTATTTATTCTCATATAATTATCTCTTTTTACTAAAAAGGAGACTTATCAAAATGAGTCAAGATCTTTTCAATTTGAGATTCGTAATAACTCCTTTGTGTTTATGATATCTATACCCCATCATCAAATTGATCACTCTGGATGTAAATTTATCTTTGCTATTAATATTTGTCATGATTTAAAAATTATTATAAAGGGAAAGGAATTATAACATTATATTCTTCTATTCTTTTTTATAATGACAAAGGAGGAGAAAGGATTGCTAGCTTGTATATTTCAAAGAAAGGCACAACTTGTTAGCTTGCATATCTCAAAAGATAAGCAAAATATGCTATCTTGCCTATATTTAGAATTGCCCATCTCAAGAAGCAAAAAGTGTTAGCTTGCTCATCTCAAGAAGAAGCAAAAATTGCTATCTTGCACATCAAAAGAAGCAATAATTTTACTAACTTTCATATGTGAAAAACTTGCTAGTTTGTATATTCAAAACAAGCTACCTTACTAGCTTGCATACTTTAAAATTTTGCTAGTTGCACTTTTCTCCTTTTTGTTAATGACAAAGGGGGAGAAGTTATATTGATAATATGAAATTATGCATGAAATATTGAATCTCGGATTTTGATGATAAAATCAATTGATGTGTTTGATCTAATATGTGTTTTAAGTGACGTAGGACTAGCTTCGATCAAAACAGGAAAAACGATTAAAGCAGGAGGAATCAAACGTTGGACCGGAGCAAACATGTTAGTAGATTAGATGTTGGGCCGGAGGATCGGTCGACGTGTTGGTAGAAGGCTTCGTACCATGAATTTGGGCATCGGGCCTAGAAGAGCATACATTACGCCAAGGAGATCGAAGTTGTAGAGTCAACATACCGGTTTGGCAAAAAGCTATAAAATAGGACGATGTGCCGAAGGATCGGACGAAACGATGGATGAATCAATGACATGTCGGACAATATGAGATTCGCTTGTAATCG